CAGTCTGAAAAAGCCACGGGAGTACACTAAATTTTAACATAAATTTTTTAATTGTCATTAATAATTTAACCCTTTAAAATGCTGGTCTCAAGTAATACCACCTGAGAATCTGGGCTGTTATTTTGTAGAGTCATTCTTTTGTAACAAAGAAACGCAGGGATAATTATTAATTATTTGGCGTTGCAATCCTTGCAGTGCACTATTATCAACTTCTGATTATAATAAATAATTATTGCACAATTTGCATTGCCATAGAATGTGACTTAGAGTTTCGATATACAAGTTACGTCTACATTTGAGGCTATTAACAATTCTTATTCGAGCTAGAGATCTATCGCTGCTGGTAAAGTGATACCTAGCGCTGAGTTAGATGTCCTTAAATTAATAGATGGCAGAGCTAGTTGCAGTGAATTGTGTTGTGCTAAATAAAAACCTTGCTTGATGATTCCTTTCGCCACTCTACCGGTGAATCGTTTTACTGTTAATAATTTATTGGAAGTTACTGGTCTCATTTCTACGGTTGCTCTGAATATTGAATACTAATAATAAGGAAAAGGTCAATTCTGTACCTCAGATAGAAGTAATTAGGGTGCGGCTGTCTTCAACTGAATTGATTGTTATGTGAACGGATGAAAGAAATATCTTACCACTAGCAGGTGAAGCATCACGATGAACATGGTGGCGTTCCTGAAACCTATATTGTCCATGAGAATCCCAGCCACGCTGGGCCCGATGAAGGCTCCAAGAGCGAAGGTGCTTGTCCAGAGACCGCTGACGAGACCGTATGTCTCGAGATTGTTCGCGAACCCGTATTCTCTGAGTAACATTAACAATTATATTAATTTGTCAGATGAATACCAAAATACTTTTATAATAAACGAAATAAATCTATATCAGTTGATTGTCTTTATTGCAATTTGACTTCAACAAGTGTTTTCTCTTACGTTTCCTTTTCGAAGTAATTTCTTTTCAATTGCAGACTTACATTGACGTTCTCATGGCATCCGTGAAGCTGGCAACCAGCTGTGCAGACATGCCCAAACCGTGAATGACCAAGCCGGTAATAGTCATCCAAATAATGGTTGGACTAGGAATGAACGGCGCCGGACCTACCAAACAGAATCCTACGCACACCAGCATACAGCCTGCTACTGTGGCCACCTAAAAATGATTAACATTCAATTACAGTTGAATTGAACATTGAGAAATCAATATTGATTAGGAAAACAAACAAATCTACAGTTGAGTCACGAATCGTATTTTAGAGGCTGAAGGTAACAAACATAAATAACAGTCCA